GTAGTAGGTCATCCGGGTACTTTTTGCCTACTCTTTTATCAGTACTGTGAATTCAGACATATTTCTTTTGTCACGTACTGTTTTTCACCTACCTATATAGTAGGGAGGTATGCGTTTTTGGATGCAGCCAATTTGTTCCTGAAAGAATTTTGAACGAATGGTTTGAATTAATGAATGAATCAACGGCTTACTCATTAAGGCAGTGACTTGTTGCCACCTACTGGCAGTTTTGGTTTTATATTTAAAGTATAACTGCATTTTTCTTTTTTCACCCCTTAATGGAAAAGTTCTGGAATAGTTTCTGTCACTGCTTATAGGTTTTGGAGTATTTTTCAGTTGTTATCCTGCAAAGTGTCTTCCTTTTTGGTGTTATAGAAATGGCCACCCTATGTAAGAGTCTTCCTCCTGGTCTGTCTAAGCTTCTGAACTATCTTAAAAGACTACACTATAGAGGATTTCTTATGCACACTAGTCTACATTATATGTGTGCGAGAATAAACACAGTGACAGTGTCTCAGTAAGGAAGCCCATATCAGTGCTTTGCTTTTTCCCTGATGCCCAGTGACTCATTGTATCTCTACAAGAAGCTGATGACACTCCCACTGCCACCGACTGACTGACCACAGGCCATGAATATTCAGCACTGGCTTCGACTCATCCAGATTAGAAATATAATGTGGAGAGTTCACTAGGAATGAATTGTGCCCACACCATTTATTTGCATTGTTTTAGCATTCAATTCCATTGCCTGAATTATGCAAATAATGGCACAGCGTTAACTAGTCCAGCCAAACAGCCTGGAGGTGTAGTGAATAAGGAATAATCTATAGTAGGCCTAATTTACATAGAAAAGAGGCATGTTTGTGTGGAAAACATATGGGGGGGGGGGGGGGGGGGAGTGTATATGTATTTCTAGAATTAATTATGAATTTTGCTGCATACATGTGAGTGCAGTTAAGTATCTTAAACCAATTGATAATCAGCCATAACAAATTATTTGTGCATCCATATAACTGACTGAATAAAAACACTAGCTGAATTGAACTTGTTTCATCATGAATGAACTTTAAACAGTTATTGAACTGAACTGAACCAACACTGAACTGACTGGAGCTCAATAATGCCTCTATTGTCTGGTCACAGCTGCTTTACAGCAGAATTTGACTTTTTGAAGTTTGCAAGTGTGAATTATTGACTGTGAAGCAGCTTTGATACAATCTAAAGCAATGTCTAAAGCATTATTAAAGTAAAGGTGACTTGACTATTTAAAGACTCATATTGAAAAACAATTTTAGCGATTGGTTAAAATAGGTTGCCAGTGGTTGGCAAATAAAATGCATGTTTTAGCACTGTACATACCACTGTTAGTGATTTCACCTCTTTGTGTGTACACCAGTACTCCTGTCTTCATTTATGAGACACAAAGTCTCCTCAGACACGTATTCTAAAATCAGCATGCTCAAGCTAAAGCAGCTGGTACCATCTTAGCATCCCACAGCCTGAAGAAATCAGCTCTTAAATCCTCAAGGCCTCTGTCTAAGAGACAAGGATAAAGACTTCCTGTCGGGACTCTAAGTAGCCGTGGGTCTAGCCGTCTCCCTGTCGCAGATGCAGCAGAGAGAGACAGGGAGGTTTTGGAACATTAGTCTAATTGCTTGGTGCTCGAATTGTCATTTAAAGCCATTTCACCTGCACTGCTAAAAGATCACACGGTCCACCATCAGATGTTTCTGTGCCGCTGCATTTCCCACACACTGCCATCACATACTCTAAAACACATCGCTTTCCATGTAAAACAATCTGTTTATGGAAATAAACATTTAAAAGTGCTGTATCCTACATGTTTACAGTACTTACAGTCACTAATTTAGGAACAAGCGTGTTGTTTTTGTCTCTGTACTGTTCAGATTTCGAATGAAATTAGTCGTTATGATTGGCTAAAATGAATAGCACTGCTTTACTTACATTTTCCATTTGTGAAAGGAATACTACATTTGCCAGATCATGCACTGTTAATTTGTCCCACGATGCAATACATTCAATCTGTTCTTCCATTTCCAATGTGATAAATGAACTGAAAGTGATATCAGTGATTTTTAATGTCAACTTTTGGCAGTTTGATCAAGGAGATATTTTTACCCAAATTGAGATTTAAAATAACCCTTTTAATTTCTGAGAAAAAAAACTACCATCATCAAAAGTTTTAAGATTTATTTATTTTTTATTTGTATTTATTTATTTTTGAAATAATTTAACACTACAGCATGGATGCATTAAATTGATTAAAAAAAAATAGTATTGAAGACATTAAATAATTAATGTAAAAAGCAACAGTATAGACAAGTGTGTGTGTGTGTGTGTGTGTGTGCGCGTGCGTGTTATTTTAAATTAATAATATTTCAGGATGTTACAGTTTTTTACTGTTGTTGCATAAAAACCTCAACATACATCTTTTTACAAATAGAGAATATAGCTTGTGCTGTTCTGCACTGTATGTCAGAATTGTATCTTATTAAAGCAAGGAAAACCATAATACAGCCAGTTTGAATTTGTGGAACAGTTTTTTTAATGGCTCTAAAAGGTACACTGATAGAGAATAGACAATAGAGAATAAACAGCCCACATAGAGTTCATGTACCTAACAGCATCTATTGATTAATCGTGAACAGAAGAGCTGATATAGATATTCAAGTCAATCCATGCAAAAGTATAAAATAGATTGTTCTGGGACAGATATAGACTGTCTTGGTATAATTCCCTGTGACGGTATGGAGTGGGCAGCCTGCGTAGCTACAGAAAGCATAAGTAATTGAATTTATGCGTAACCAGAGATAGGTAACAGGGAGCAGGTGTTGCATTAGACATTCCTGCTCTGATGTCATCAGCTGAGTTGGCAGACAGGAAGTGTTCATCCGCATGCACCACCTGCCCACAGACGATGACCCAGCACATCTCTCTCTCTCTGTGTGTGTAGATGTGTTTACACAGGATTCATCTGAATGGCTCATCACTAAATCATGCATGAATTAAAAAAAAAAAGATAATTTCATCAAACGCCTACACAGAAGGGCGATTCATTGCTCTTTCATAGCTCAGGTAAATGTTCTGAGTTTTGTTTCATTTAAGGAGCAATTCCTTTGGGGACATAAAAATAGAAGCAACTGAGACAATAATGGTCTCGGATGAATCTGATGAAATTTTTTAAATCTCTGATTTTTGATTGCAAATCTGAAGACATGAACACCATGAAATACAAATGTAAACCACTGACATTTCTACTTCACAAACTACTCTAATTTGCATTTAGTCATTAAATAAACTTACACTACAGTTTGAATATTTGGGGTTGGTAAGATTTTTTTTTCTTTCTGAAAGAAGTCTCTTATGTTCACTAAGGCTGCATTTATTTGATCAGAAATACAAGAAAAACAGTAATATTATGAGAATAATATTACAATTTAAAATAACGGTTTTCTATTTAAAAAAATAACATTAAAATTTCGTGGCAAACGTAATACATTTTTTCAGGATTATTTGATGAATAGAAACTTCAAAAGAATGGTATTTATTCAAAATAGAATATTTCTTGCTTTATATTATATTATATTATATTTCTCACTTTTGATCAATTTAATGTGTCCTTGTTGTATAATTTGTTTTATTACGTAAAAAAACGGTTATGATTATTATTGTTAAAATATTGTTTTGTTATTATTACAATAATAAATGATATGCATACATATACATACACACATATACTGTATGTATACACACACACATATACATACATACATACATACATACATTGCTGTTCAAAAGTTTGGGATCAGTAAGATTTTTAATGTGTTTTAAAGAAGTCTCTTCTGTTCATCATGGCTGAATTAATTTGACCAAAAAATAATTTGTTTTATTACGTAAAAAAACGGTTATGATTATTATTGTTAAAATATTGTTTTGTTATTATTACAATAATAAATGATATGCATACATATACATACACACATATACTGTATGTATACACACACATATATACATATATATATATATACATATATATATATACACATATACATACATACACTGCTGTTCAAAAGTTTGGGATCAGTAAGATTTTTAATGTGTTTTAAAGAAGTCTCTTCTGTTCATCATGGCTGAATTAATTTGACCAAAAAATACAGAAAAAAAACAGTAATATTGTAAAATATTACTTCTGTTCATCATGGCTGAATTAATTTGACCAAAAATACAGAAAAAAAACAGTAATATTGTAAAATATTATTACCATTTAAATAATGGTTTTCTATTTTGATATACTTTAAAATATAATTTATTTCTGTGATGCAAAGCAGAATTTTCAGCATCATTACTCCAGTCTTCAGTGTCACATGATCCTTCAGAAATCATTCTAATATGTTGATTTATTATCAATGTTGGAAACAGTTGTTCTGCTTAATGTTTTTTTTTTTTTTGGAACCTGTGATACTTTTTTCAGGATTAGTTGATAAATAAAGTTAAAAAGATCACACAAATGCAGCCATGATGAGCAAAAGAGACTTCTTTAAAAAGCATTACAAATTTTACTGATCCCAAACTTTTGAACGGCAGTGTACATTTGTTTCGTTTCATTTTGTTTTAAAGAAGCAGGAGACTAACGTGTGGTGTGCAGTGATTTTGGCTATAAATTTGCAAACTTGAGTGTCAAAGAGGTCAGAACACCCAGTCCTGTCAAAAGTAATCAAAGTCCTAAGACTGTACAGTTGTACAGCTGATGTTGCATATTCTGCCCAAAATTTCACCATGCTCATCATAAATGCTCGTCTGACAAGAAACGACAGCTGAGAACTGAAAAAGAGACACACTTTAAGCAAAAGTCTCAATTTGCCCTCCATTTAATCAAATTGCAATCTAGGAGAAACAACTGGGAGTTTACTTCCAAATCTCATTAACTTGTTCGGCTCCAGCCGTTTACTGAAAACTCTTGCTCTCATTCTCTCTCACAGTACAAGCAAGTGGAGCAGTACATGTCCTTCCACAAGCTGCCGGCTGACATGCGGCAGAAAATCCACGATTACTATGAGCATCGCTACCAGGGAAAGATCTTCGATGAGGACAGCATCCTTAACGAGCTCAACGACCCACTCAAAGAGGTGAGACACAAATATCTCATAGTAGTACTGACCCAGGGTCAGAGCTAATGCGGCCATGGGTACATTTGAACATAAGCATCTCAGAAAATAAGAGCTGATCTAGGATAATCTCCCTGTCTGGACGCATAATCGCTTTCATTTGGATATGAAAGGAAACATCTACTGTAAGATTGACATCTACTGTATATTTGATTGAATATTGTGATATATATATATATATATATCATGTGGCATTTTAATTGTAATTAATAATTTCCACACCTAACATTAGATTCAAGTAAGTCTCGGAATATAAATGGAATTATATCCCATGAATACAACACAAAAATGAATGAAGTTTGCTCTGTGTTTTGAAATAAATGAAACTAAGGTATTTATAAATTAAATAAATTATAAGTTTTTTAAACAGCATTTTTTTTAAATGAATAAGGCTCAACATTGTGATAAATTACGCCAATTCAGATATAAATAGTGAGATACATATTAAATATTGTTAGAAAGCAAGCAAACAAACTAAATAAATACAAACCTTTGTAGGTATGTGATTAAAGATGGCCATTTTAGAAATAAATATTGAGAGACCCATTCAATATTGTCAGAAGGCAAAAACATGAATGAATGGTTTTCTTTCTTTTTTTTTCTTTACATTTCTTTACCATTTAAAAATGCTTGGGGGGAAAAAAATGCTAAAAGAGCTGCTATGATATTGTAATAGAAATGGAAAGGTCAAGCACATTGCATTATGGGATACAGTACACATTCATACCACACAGAAAATGATCATACAGTAGACAGTATATATTCATTGGGATTGTATCAAAATTACCCAGAATGCAGCACCCATGTCATCATGATTGAGCAGACAGAGCGAGTGTCTATTATGACACAGCAAAGTGAAAGATAGCACTGACGACTTCATCCCCAAAACATCTTTAACTCTCGGCAGCTCCTCCCTCGCTCCTCCATCTCTCTTTCCCTCAGTTGGTGAGGGCTGCTATTTTTACATTCACCGCCTTGTGACAAACTAGCTTTAAATAGATAGTCTCCAGCTTGTCTCCCTAGTGGAGGTAAAGGGTTGGACGTGGCTATCAAACTCATTATTCCTCCTGTGTGATTGCGGTCAGAACCTTCCTGATGCTTTTCTGACTACGCCACGATTTAAAGCAAAGTGCAAATTTATTCGTCATACCCAAGCCACACTAAACAAACACATCCTTCACCCCGGCAGCATGGAGATGAGAAAGACTTTCAGTTAATGGCTGAAGTGTGCTTGATACTGACTGTATGGGTACCATAAAATAAGCTCACTGCAATGCAGTGGGAGGAGAGTCTGTGTAGAAGCTTGTGATCGCTGCAGAGGAGTGATTAAAAAAATATCAGTGTTTTATCATTCAGAAATGATGTCATGAATGACCTTGATGTCACATGTTCTTCGGTGTTACATAAGCTGCACGAGTGTGGGAACAAAAATTTAAATTGAATAATTTTTTCTCATGATTCATGAAGGTTGTGTGTGCTCTAGCATGGGTGCACTGCGATGCCAGCCACCTGCTCCAGTGGAAAACCATCTGCTACTGGTATTTTGGCCTGTAGCGGGAATGCGGCTGGCATGTGTGCGTTTGTACACGGGTGAACGTGTGTCAGAAAATCTCTTCCTCCTCACTGCCTTCTGATAGAAACGCAACACACATTGACCTTGACCTAGTTTTTTAACCGCCGTGGGTTTTTCAGTGACCAATACCAAAGCTGACACTGAAAAGTCAGAAAAAAGTGGTATTTATTTATTTATTGGTTTATTGATTGATTGATTAAACATTGCTGAATAGCATTTTTTTATTTAAACCTCGACACGCACAATTTCAGTTTGTGAATAAATACAAAAAAATGCTTTCTTTACCAATTATTTACTAAAAATTCTGAAAAATAATATATTAGTGGTATTTATTATTGTTATTCTAATAATAACAACAATAAATAAGAATATTATTATAAATTATAATAATAAAACAATTTATTATTAATAATAATTTTAATAATAAAAACTAATACAATATTTATTACTATGATGATGATGATGATTAATTAGAAAAGCAAGTAATTGGGTCGATAAATCCAAAATCTTTGGACTGATTCTTGTACTTTAACACCATGTGCAGTGGTTCAATTTTAATAATAATAATAATAATGGTAACACTTTACAATAAGGTTCATTAGTTAACTACATTAGTTAACATGAACTAATAATGAACTGCACTTATACAGCGTTTATTAATCTTTCTGGTATTTTGGCCTGTAGCGGGAATGCGGCTGGCATGTGTGCGTTTGTACACGGGTGAACGTGTGTCAGAAAATCTCTTCCTCCTCACTGCCTTCTGATAGAAACGCAACACACATTGACCTTGACCTAGTTTTTTGACCGCCGTGGGTTTTTCAGTGACCAATACCAAAGCTGACACTGAAAAGTCAGAAAAAAGTGGTATTTATTTATTTATTGGTTTATTGATTGATTGATTAAACATTGCTGAATAGCATTTTTTATTTAAACCTTGACACGCACAATTTTAGTTTGTGAATAAATACAAAAAAAAGCTTTCTTTACCAATTATTTACTGAAAATTCTGAAAAATAATATATTAGTGGTATTTATTATTGTTATTCTAATAATAACAACAATAAATAAGAATATTATTATAAATTATAATAATAAAACAATTTATTATTAATAATAATTTTAATAATAAAAACTAATACAATATTTATTACTATGATGATGATGATGATTAATTAGAAAAGCAAGTAATTGGGTCGATAAATCCAAAATCTTTGGACTGATTCTTGTACTTTAACACCATGTGCAGTGGTTCAATTTTAATAATAATAATAATAATGGTAACACTTTACAATAAGGTTCATTAGTTAACTACATTAGTTAACATGAACTAATAATGAACTGCACTTATACAGCGTTTATTAATCTTTGTTCATGTTAATTTCAACATTTACTAATACATTATTAAAATCTTGTTAACATTAGTTAATGCACTGTGAACTAACATGAACTAACAATGAACATCTGTATTTTTATTAACTAACGTGAGCATAGATTAGTAAATACAGTAACAAATGTATTGCTCATGGTTAGTTCATGTTAGTTAATACATTAACTAATGTTTAACTAATGAACCTTATTGTAAAGTGTTACCATAATAATAATAAAGACAGAGAAATAATATATAAAAATAATAATGTAAATTTTAACAATAATAAATAAAGAAAATTATGATGATAACTATTATTAGGTTGTTGTTATGATTATTATTATTGTTATTATAACAAATTATAATTAATAATTAAAAAATAATATTTTTGTAATAAAATTAATACATTTATTGTTGTTATTATAGTTTATTAATATTTATTTAATAAAAAAAATATTATTATAATAATGACGACATCGATTGATCACTAAAATGAAAACTGGCCAGATGAAATTAGAAAAGCAGGTAACTGGGTCAATAATCCAAAACCTTTGCACTGATTTTTGCATTTTAAAACCCATGTCATGTTTAATTTTAATAATAATAATAATAATAATATTAATAATAAATACAATTATTATTATTATTTAAAAAAACATGCAGTGGTTCAAAGCATCCATGTAAGTAAACTGAAGTTGTGGCAGTGTGCCGTGAGGTGAGGGCCAGTTAAGGTGAAGTGTTGATCACGATAAATCAGGCAAACCCCATCCATTAGCTCACAGCTGGGATACGTGCCAAACCGACGGACTTTCAAGGCTATGAGGTCAAGTGTCATTTCCATTTGCAGAGGCCCGAGAGGAGGGCAGGTTGATTGGACGCTCTTTGGTCAGGGTGAGAGAGACACCTTCACACATTTGCTAGCTTAGGAGCGGACTCGTTCAGGCACTCATCCACTCCTGGCAGCCGGCCACAGACGTGCAAAGTAAGACAATTACTACCGGAATCTGAAATTTCATGACGTTTCATCATGGTGTTGCTTTCAGACTCTCTTGACTTTTCTGTTGCCGTTATTGGGCTGTGAAAATGTACATTACAGTGACATTTGAGCCTAATGAACCAATTAGAAATAGAACAGCAAGCGCAAAGTACTTTTGCCGTCCTCACCTTTATACTGCACCACATGATGCAAGAGAGATGGCACTTTTCCATTAAAATACCCCAACACCTTGTTCCCACTCCCAGCTGGAGAGTGTTGTTAGCATGTCCCGCGGGCTACACAGACTTTTTCCACAGCATTTTTCCTGTCCAGGACAAAATGTCAAAGGTATCATCTCTGTACATAATGCTACAAATCTGTCGTTTTGAAGCGCAGGATGCACAGTCCTCCATTTACAGCAAATATATATATTTTTAAAAATCAGTCGTCATATGCTATTTACTCCAGCTCTAGCTTACAGACATTACATAGAGTAAACCCATGCACATCTCAAGGTGAAAGATCCATGAAAGGACCATCTGCACAAGATGTGCTCTAAGCACTAAGGACTTTAGATTAAACTGTCAGTGACGACTCAACAACAAGGTTCTTTACAAATCTCTCTGTGAGACACTTAAGTATGTACTGTATTCAATGAAACACTTACTTCTCAACCGCTGATGGGGTGCAGTTTTAGATCAAAATAAATAAAATCAAATTCTTTTCAAAATATTTACATATTTAAAAAGAATTTGTTACATATTTAATTGTCTTTGTTTTATTAGCATTATTATTATAAATACTATAATACAAACAAAAAGAAAAACAGCTGAAATAATAATAATAAACTGTTGTTGTTATTGATTCTTTGTTTAATAATATACATTTGAAAAAAACAAAAATATTTTCTTTGTTTTTATAAGAACAACACATTTAATAATAAATACATTCATAAATATAAATTATTATTATTATTAAAAACTATACTTTTGGAAAGCCATGATATAGATGTTGTTAAACTGTCAGCAATAACCTCAATCAAAAAGAAACCGTCTTAATTCCTCATCATCAGAGCATCAACACATGGGGAAATGCTACAAAATGAAAAGTGTTGCAAAACCATTAAATAAGAACGCTCTTCTTTTTTTTATTCACAATGTCAAATGTGTATAAAAAGCACCGCTAGCCACATGTTAAATCAGATATGTCACATGAATTCACTCCCTTGTGCTATGTTTACATGCTAATCTTTTCTTCTACTCAAGGCTAACTCTTCTGCTAATCCAGCTAGCCTTGAAGACGCTCTGCCGGCCTTGTTGTTCAACGAGTGACCTTATATAAAACGTGTGATATGTTCAATTCATCTGTTTCCCGCAGAGATCTGCCTGTTGACGAAAGGTCGTCGTACAGCTAGCGTCCGTTCTGACACCTACTGCCGACTTTTCTCGCTGTCCGTGGACCATTTCAACGAAGTCTTGGAGGAATATCCCATGATGCGCCGCGCTTTTGAAACCGTGGCTATCGACCGCTTGGACCGCATCGGTAAGACCAGAATCCCAACCCTCGCCTTCTCTTCTTGTCTAATGCCTGAACCTTGTGTGTGTTTATTGCGCGTTTGTCCTGTCCTCCATCGCACCGCAATCATCTACCATTGTGTTGCATGCCGTGTCTATATGCTACTTTATGTTCTCTCTTTTTTTCTTTCTCCAAATGTCTCGTATGGATTATAGCTATTAAAAATCGTTACAACAAACTGTAAATGCTAGCCTTAAGTAATTGGTCTGTCGGTAAGCGGCAGTGCATGTAGCCGTCCTGTCCGGGGCCGGTCACCCTGCTGGTTTTGGTTCAATGTCATCCCCAAATGGACGCATGGAGGGTGGACGGAGGCAAACCCTCACCCGCATGAGCCTCCGTTCCACTCCCCCACCTCGCACACCTGGGTATGAGCACCACCCCGCCCTCCCTTGACCCCTAGCAGCAGCAGTGCGCCCCTTAGAGGGGGTTTGAGCTGGTGCACTAAAGGACAAGGGCTGAAATAATTACCTATCAATTAGAACCAGTTCTTCACATGTTAGTATAGTCCCTGCTCGTTTAAAATGCTTAATTTATTATTTTTATTTACTTATTTTTTTCTGAAAACAAATCATTTAAAAAAAAATAATTCAATTCAATTTGTGGTAACACTTATGTATAATTTTATAATAAGGATCCATTTTTAACATTAGTTAATAGATTGGGCAGTACTTTTACAGCGTTTATTAATCTTTGTTAATGATAATTTCTACATTTTTAACATTTAGAGTGTAGAAACCAGATCCACTCAGATACTGTTTGTAAATTTCACAATTAATTCCAAAGAAACACACACTGAATTAAACATGAAATTTTGAAGTAGAAAGACTTTAGATTTTTAGAATTTTTCAAAACTTACTCCAGTAACCAATGTTTTATTTATTGTACTTCAAAAACATATTTTTACAGTGTTTGAATGTAATTTGAACCAACATGTTAGCAATGTTTATGAACATTAAAAAAAAAAGTTCATGATACGCAATGTATTAACTAATGTTGATGAATTGAGCCTTATTCTAAAGTGTTTAGAATTTATTTGCATTATTTTAACAATTCTGTTTTAAAAAACATTGTTCCAAAGCAGCATTTAATATATATTTCTTTCCAAATGTGTTATTTTTTGTAGTTTATTTGTGAAAAATTTGCAGTTCATGATACGCAATGTATTAACTAATGTTGATGAATTGAGCCTTATTCTAAAGTGTTTAGAATTTATTTGCATTATTTTAACAATTCTGTTTTAAAAAACATTGTTCCAAAGCAGCATTTAATATATATTTTTTTCCAAATGTGTTATTTTTTGTAGTTTATTTGTGAAAAATTTGCATGAATCACCTCAACATTCATTAAATTACAACATTAACATCTGAAATATCACATTTTAATGTAAGAAAATCAGTAACACCTTATACACCTACCTCATTTAACATATTTACTACTTTACTCAATGACCTAAAATTAGCATTATGTTTGTACTATGCTTTAAAAAATCTTATTTTATTTTAAAACCAGTTGGCTTGATGAACTTTAACATTTCCCCACTAAACACAAATTCATTATCACTCACACCACTCTTCATAGAAATACTGAAAAGAAGGATTTCTCTTTCAACCAGTTTCAAAGGAACAATGGAAAATAAAAAAGGGATTTTATTCGAGACACATCAGGTTCCGTAATACTGCAAATTTTAGTCTGTCTCATTGTTGAGATACAGGCCACCATCCATCATGAATTTGAATTGTGTGGAATTCAAATGTGAGCTAATGCATTCTGAACATTCGTAGAACATCGGTTTTATGTTCTGCACCATTCAAAGGGTTCGTTCTTTGACCTTGTCACCACTTTTTTGTGCTATTCAATTGAATTCTCTGTCACTACGGTTTACAGTAGGGTCTAGAGCATGAGCCTTGTTACTTTCACCCAACATTTCCATGAATCTTTTATTCAATAGGAATACTTAACTAGTTTGTGACAGACCAGATTTGAAGTGAAGCACAAATGCAACTTAAATTCAGTGGTCACATCCAAGCATACTGTAGCTCCAAAGTATGTTTTTCTTTTAAAAAGGGGTTGATATGATTATATAATACATCCATATAAAAATGTGTCTGGTTTCTTTCTTTGCACCTTTTGATTTCACAGTTCATAAGATACAACCAGAAGATAATTTAAGATGTGACCTGAAAACGCAAAGTAAATGTTTCTCCTTTAAGCATATGAATTGGTTATGACGTATACTAATATAGCATGAAGCCCTGCATAATTTCACAACTTGAGTGCATGTTAGAAATACAACACAGAACATCCCTTTTTAAGTTCCATTATACAGTCATTTGGATCAAAAAATAAATAAATAAATTAGCACCGGCTTGCCTCCATCCAAAAAAACAAGTTAATTTTAGATATAGGTTCTAGTGTTTTTTTACATTTTCCCTTGGTTCTTTTTATTTTTCTGTTTATTTGCTAAATTCTGGCATGTTGCTATTGACTTGCCTTGCGCTAAAAGTTGGATTGGATTGGTTTGGATCAATATGCCCACACCATTGTGACATGCACGTCACAACTAATCAGTGACAGATAAGAATTCATGTGATCGTGCCAATCAAATCGAATTCAGTTCAATTAAATGAAACCCTAAGACGACAGCATGCATTACGCTGTCCGAATTCAAAACTAGGATTCTATCTGCACCCATCTCTGTTTGTGGCATTGACGTTTTCACCCTTTAAATGTCAGTCACAACGCCAGATGACCGGTGTAAACAAAGCCAAGACGTGCATTTGTCCTTTCATGTGGAGAACGGGCTTGTACTAGATTGCCACTGCAAGTTGCCAGCACTTACAAAACACTTTTGATTTGACATTAGTCCAACTAAAACAAGGGGTCTTGTCTCATACAAGGGAAAAATACGGACCGTGACATGATTGGTGCTCCATGTGCTGTTTTTTTGGACTGCAAATGCTTGTCTCGTCCTAAGCAAAAGAATTTGACAAAAAAAAGAAAACAAAAGTTAACCATGCATTAACCAGAATGACATGTTGTACAATTGATGTATCTATCTTTATTTAAAAATTATTTGACCAGGAGCCCCTCTTGAGATGAGCTCATCTCGTTTTCAAGAGTGTCCTGGCCGGCCAGTAGGCAGCAGGTAAATTCCTCATGACGATCCAGATTTTCCCCCCCTCACATCTGAAATGATCCACAGGCTTAAGGCAGCCAGCATGTGTTCAGTGCACCCAGTGGACCTCAAAACGAAGGTTAAATCAAACAAATAAAAGGCCACTGTAAGTAAAAACAAGGTTGCATGCTATTGTTAAAGTCAAGGCAAGTAATTTTTATGTCACGTTTGAGCATTTATCGTATATCTGTCTTTAAAGTAATTAATGCATGCATACTATTTGATTGGTTTTAAAAAATCCAAAAGATGTGCGTCACTTAAGGTTTCTCCTGCAAGAAAATAACCATAAAGATAACAATGCTGACTCTTGTTATGATGATGTTGCTAAACAAAAATGTGTCATTTAATTTAATTATTATTTGTCTGTGGTGGGAAAGATACTTTAAAATGAGCTTACTAAGCCTATTTAAAGTAGTTAATTTACAATCAAGCTATATTAAATGTTTAGTTATACATAAAGATACTTAAAGGGGTAATATATTAATACATGCATTAAAAATATAAATAAGATTATTAGCAATTTCGAAAGAATAAGAGACTACATAATCAGAGAAAGACTAAGACAGATTTTTCAGGCACAGAAAACAGGTGACTATTAAACAGATTACAACTAAACTAGAAAAAAAATAGAAACACCCTAATATAACTGATTTTTTTTTTTTTTAGTTTAACCGATTTACTAAAAAGGATTTGGACTTTCAATGTTTTAATACACTACTTACAATATGACATTAAAAATATAAATAAGATTATTAGCAATTTCGAAAGAATAAGAGACTACATAATCAGAGAAAGACTAAGACAGATTTTTCAGGCACAGAAAACAGGTGACTATTAAACAGATTACAACTAAACTAGAAAAAAAATTGAAACACCCTAATATAACTGATTTTTTTTTTTTTAGTTTAACCGATTTACTAAAAAGGATTTGGACTTTCAATGTTTTAATACACTACTTACAATATGAAAAAGAAAGAAAGGACAGTTTAGAAGAGCAGACCACAAAAAAGTGACTTTTTAAACTTTTAAAAACTAAATTAAATAAAACGTTTCACAATAGAAAAAAGTAGCTTGTTAACTTGTATAAAAAAAGTAGTTAAAAGTAGTAAAAATTCTTAAAAAGATCTCTACACTATTATGAAAAACAGATGCACTATTGTTAAGCTACTGATAAATGTAATAAAATTAGTAGTGTTGTCAATAATTGTAGGTAATTTCAACACAGATTTCCCACACCTTTAGACAATGAATTTCAGTCAATTACTGGATAAGGATTTGCATGACTATTTTGGACTCAAAACGAGTCAATTAAACATTTTAAAGCTGGTCTGGAAATTACAATTTTAAAATTCACAGATATTTCCAGGTTGAGTGTGGGAACCTCTATTTACACTTCACATCCCTAAACTCAGATTCTCAAACTAAACTCAACTAGTTTACATAGTTTTACCTGTTTCAACAGAAGCTACAATATACAGTAGGCAGCTTTCTCTCTACCTATTTATAGCCATGGTCCAAACATCATGGCAGCCACCTGGTGAGGTGTTTGAGCTCAATGGTGTGCCACATTCACGGCTCACTGTGTTCCACTCATTTATTAGAGAATGGGAGGCAGACTCCAGGTTATTAGTCATCTTTAGTGACACATGAAGCCCAGTATCCCCATTCAGCCCCAGAAGAATGCAGCAGAGGGCTAATGTGTCTCAGCGGAGGCCGTCAAGCTTAGAGGTGAAACAGAATGTTCCGTTCTGCTGAATGTCTAAGAACATTCAGTGGAGATGTGTGTTTCTCC